TGTGTGTGTGTGTGTGAGTGTGTGTGTGTGTGTGTGAGAGAGAGAGAGAGAGAGAGAGAGAGAGAGAGAGAGAGAGAGAGAGAGAGAGAGAGAGATCACGCGTCCTTGACCACCCGCGCAGCCACGATTTGACATCTTGTGTAGAGAGTTTTTAAGCGGTCGTTGATGTGAAGTCCTTTCCTGCAATGCTCACATTCGTTATTCCCTCCATGCTGGCCTGCGTTCGTTACGACCTGTACCATTATCTCTTTGATGTACGATATGAGATGGAACAGACAGTCCGCAACCAGCCTCGCCATTTGTCGCGAATTTGCTTTTGCAACGAACTTTTGAAATGTGTTCGTCGTCATAGGCAGCGCAACAGATTCTGCATCATCACAAGGTGCTTTGCTAGCGACGACACATGGGAAGTTGTGACGAACGTGGTGACAATTCAGTGTGGCAACATCGGTGCACGCCAGCACGGCATGCGGCGCAGGCGCGCAGTCCCCGACAGTGGTCCCAATTCCTGTGGAGGTTTGCATTATTGTGTCGATTTCTTCACTTGCCTTCGTCCTTTCACCTTCTGCACTTCCCATGACAACTTCGTTCGCACAAGTCACCATCATTTCTCCATCCAACAACTTACCTCGTGTGTGTTGCAGGGCATCAATGACGTCCGAGCAACCGTTCAAAAGAGACGTCATATGACAAGGAAGGTCATCCTTACGAATCGCGACACCCTCATCACAGAGACCCTACTCGTCTACGGTTTCCTTACAGTGGCGAATACAGTCTGCTGCGAAGGCCAAAAGGTCAACGACACTGCGTGACGAAGCAGTTAGCGAACCCGTATTATATTCTTGGCTATCATACGATGCCCAATCCTCCTTCAGCACACACTTCTCAGTGCTGCGACAAGATGCGACATCAAGTCCTTGTGATTCCCTGTGAGTTCTCTTTGTGACGTGGGCGGCGAACCGATTCAAGATCGCGGTGGGTCTGCGTCTTTCACCATCCAACCATGTCTGGAACTCGTCAAATGTGGTGGTCTTCGTTTCAACTATTGCCTTCAGTCTGGGGGTCATGTCCTCCCTCAGACGACTTATGTCTAAACACTTTGGATCGTCTAGCAACAACAAAAAAACAGTGAACATCTTGTGTTCCGCAGTTTCTGTCATTTTTACGAGTAGTGACTTAATACGGTCTAGTTCGTCTGACATTTGTCTCGCCAATTGTTTTTGCTTATGTACCTCGTCTGTTAACCTGTCTATATGTTCTCACTGCTTCTCTACTATGTGACCCCAGTTCCGGTCCATCTCAGTCGTCTTCTCTTCTTGGGCCCCTAGTAGCAGAAACTGATCCGCTGTTGCATCACACTCTTCGCCTGACTTTCTCTTCTGTCCGGTTTTGGCCAATCTTGACATCTGGAGATATATGTACATACAGAGAAATACAGATAGATAGATAGATAGATAAATAGATAGATAGATAGAGAGAGAGAGAGAGACAGACAGACAGACAGACAGACCCTCACTACTTCCATAGTTGTTGTCAGCGGGCGCCTACGAAAGATTGGCTATATGTACATGGCAACATACATTGTTATTTATTACTGTACATCTGCGTTTCCCCCGTACATGATTCGATATAACAGTGGACAACATAACTTAACAAATACAAAGCAGACCATTCTCTCGAAACGCATCCGTCGGAATGAGGGAGTGAGAGAGATAGAGACGCAGGAAAGAAAGAATGGAGAGAGAGAGAGAGAGAGAGAGAGAGAGAGAGAGAGAGAAAGAGACGCCACAAACAAACAAAGAAAGAACCGTCCGACAAAACTAAAATGTATGGAGTTCGCTACTGCGGGCCAAAATCACACTTATGTACCTCGTTCAATGGGTTCGTGGCCCGCAGTAGTGAACTCTCTCTCTCTCTCCCTCTCTGATTCTCTGTCTCCCATTTGTAAGAAATATCAAAACAAAA